CCCCCCGCGCGGCGCCCGGCAGCCAGCTCTGCAATGGGAGCCGCCCCGGTGGCAGTGCACGGTCCCGCGCTCCTCCCTCGCTTCCTCCTCTTTCTCCTCCTCCTCAGGGCTCCAGTCAGGCCGAGCCGCTCCGCTCACGAAAGGCAAGCTGAGATATAACTTGCTGTTTTTTGTGGTCACATGGTGACAACTTATAGAAAGTCAGATCTGCAACTTGATGGGTGACAGTTCCTTTCAACCAAAAGATAATTTAAAAATGGCAGAACTCTTCATGGAGTGTGAAGAAGAGGAGCTAGAACCATGGCAGAAGAAAGTGAAAGAAGTTGAAGAGGATGATGATGACGAGCCCATCTTTGTTGCAGAGATAGCAAGTTCAAAACCAGCAATTTCAAATATTTTGAACAGAGTTAATCCCAGCTCCCATTCACGAGGACTAAAGAACGGTGCACTTAATCGAGGTTTTACTACTTCATTCAAGCCTACAAATCAACGCTTCCCTAATCCAGCATCAAATCCTGTGGCTGCCTTGCCAGTCAATTTTCATCCTGAACCTAGATCTTCTGATAGCTCTGTTATTGTTCAACCATTTTCTAAACCTGGTTATTTAACAAACTCTCCAAGAGTTCTGTCTAATAACTCTTCAGAGTTACTGTTTGACCTGACCCAGGATACAGGATTATCACATTACCAAGGGGGACCAGCACTTTCTATTGCAGGTTTGAATGAAAGTTCATTTTCGTCAAAACGTCTTTCTGGTTCTGACATAAGCAGTGTTAACCCAAAAAAGCCTAAAGCCAGTGACAGTATTCCTGGAGCAGATGCCTCTTCTGTAGTCCCAGAAAAGCCCCCATCAGTGTCGTCTCTGCAGGTGGTGACATCGCAAGGTGTAAATTGCTCATCAAATCAATCTAAAAATGGAACAACTTTTCCAAGAGCATGTCCTAAATGCAATATTCACTTCAATCTTTTGGATCCTCTGAAAAATCACATGACGTATTGTTGTCCAGACATGATAAATAACTTTTGGGGATTGTCTAAAATAGAAATTTCAAATACAGCAAATGAAGCCAAGACTATTGATTCAGAGAAAGGAAAATTGATTATGTCAGTTAATGACTTTTACTATGGAAAACATGAAGGAGATGTTCAGGAAGAACAGAAGACTCACACAACTTTTAAGTGCTTCAGTTGTTTGAAAGTTCTCAAAAATAACATTAGGTTTATGAACCACATGAAACACCATTTAGAACTTGAGAAGCAGAGCAGTGAGAGCTGGGAGAAGCACACCACTTGCCAGCACTGCTACCGCCAGTTCCCCACTCCCTTTCAGCTACAGTGCCACATCGAGAGCACGCACACGCTCCTTGACTTTTCTACCATTTGTAAAATCTGTGAGCTGTCATTTGAAACTGAACAGATTCTTTTACAACATATTAAGGATAATCATAAACCTGGTGAAATGCCATACATCTGCCAGGTTTGCAATTACAGATCATCATTATTTTCTGATGTAGAATCTCATTTTAGAACATCGCATGAAAACACTAAGAATTTGCTATGTCCATTCTGCCTCAAAGTTATTAAAATTGCCACACCCTATATGCATCATTACATGAAGCATCAGAAAAAGGGAATACATCGTTGTACCAAATGCAGATTACAGTTTTTGACGTGCAAGGAGAAAATGGATCACAAGACGCAACATCACCGAACATTTGTAAAACCCAAGCAGCTAGAAGGACTGCCCCCTGGAACAAAAGTTACTATTCGAGCTTCAGTTGGACCTTTAACTTCAGGATCTTCCACTACGCCTTTCATCAGTGCAAGCACTTCCACCCTCCAGCTCTCACCTCCAAGGACTGAAAATGTCACTTCCAAAAATCCCACTAAATTGAATACAAGTACACCGAATACAGCTGTATCTGACTCCAGTAAACCTAACGAAAGCAAGCCTAATGGAAGTAAATCTAAGAACAAGTCCAAAGTCTGTACCACGCAGAAGAGACAGAGCACAGTGGCTAATAGTAATAGAAAAAGCCAAGTGAATACAGCACTGAGGAACTTAAGCTTTCATAGTAACCGTCCAAGTAAAAGGTTTTGTATATTTAAGAAACATTCAGAAAATCTCAGGGGCATTTCTCTAGTGTGCCTTAATTGTGATTTCCTAACTGATGTTTCTGGCTTAGATAATATGGCTACACACTTAAGTCAACATGAAACTCATACTTGCCAAGTTCTAATAGAGAAAGTTTCTGTTTGTATCCCAGCTTCTGAACATCTTTCTGAATTAAAAACTGAAGCTCCCACTAAGGGACAAGAATCTGTGTCTAAGGAAACAAGACATAATACAGCTGAAGGAGAAACAGGAGCATCACATTCTGAAGGTAAGCAAGATAAAGCTCCTTCATCAGAAGAAGACGTTGGGTGTGATGCAAGTGTATGTGAAACTCCAGCAGCAGCAAACTGTGAAGGAAACGTAACCGTTTCAGATACAGAAAATGAAAGCAGGTCAAAGAACATCTTCAGTCATGATTCAGATGTTGGAGCAGATAATATGGGAAAGGAAGAACAGACACAGCACACCTGTCAGGAACTGGAGCTGAAGGTGCATCAACATTCAGAAAGTACAGACTCATGTGATCAGAGTAAAGAGCATGACTCCCCTGCTGATGAGCTTTCTTCAGAGACTGGTCAGGATTTGCAGTTAACGTCAGGGGACATCAGCATTGACGAGTTTCTGAGGCAAAGAGACAAACCTGAACCTGTGAGTTCTGATGTTCGTGAGCAAGACAGTGTTCGCTTGGAACTCTTGACACCGTCAGAGCTACTTGAACATGAGGCCACAGAGATTCTTCACAAGGGTGATGATTCTTCAGCCAGTGCCAGTGACGCCGTGTCTGATCTGACAGGTGGACTTATGAGTCCTGGAGGACATGGAGCAGAGACAGCAGTAGACCTGGAGACGGGGAAGAAAGAATCTGAAGTGATGTAGTCATTCCAAGTTTAGTTCCCCACAGAGAGAGAGCACTTAGAGCAGTGCTGTCCGGTGAGCTCAGTAGTGCCGTGGTAGAGGTCAGCAGTGAGAGCTGAGGGAGGTCCTGCATACACTTCACCTGTATGTTCCATCTTACTTAGTCAGTTTGCCACTAATAGCATGGTTAATGTGATTTCCAAGTTTTTACAAACCACAACGGAACTTTAGTGAAAACTGAGTTTCCATCCAAAGGTCTCTTAGCACTTTTTGAAGGAATCTTGTACACCAGTATGAAATTATTATAAGAATATTAGCTATGTTAATCAGACTTTCATTAGTCCTGAAGTTAAAATCCTTATCACTTGTATATTCCCTTTAATAAACTTAAAGGAAGAGATTTGAAACCATGCATTTTTTTGAAAATACCTTTAAACTGCCAATTAATTGTTACTGTTAATGAAGGCTGTATTTTTTAATATGATCCTGGTAATGAAGCATGCCTAGAGTGCTAAATTGACCTGTTGAGAATTTGGATGAATATAAACTTAACTTTGGATTTACTATAACATTCCAGTCTGTCAGAAGCATGCAAACAGAATTTTAGAATCTGTGCACCTCCATACAAGTGTTAGCCGGTCAGGCTGTCAGCTCACCTATCTAAAACTTTCAGTGAAAGTGAAATGATGAAAATGTAAGTTTATATTTGTGCTTTTAGTCAGTGTATAAGCTGTGCAGAACCCCACCCTGCCCCCATGGGCTAGTTGTATGAAGTAGAAATCCGTTATTGAAACTCTTGTAGCTACTATGCTTTTAATATTGTTTCAATGATTTTTAGCAGTAGACCCATAAAAATGGTCTGGAAGCTAAACCAAAGTATGGTAGAGTGTAGGTGAAAAGCATTGAACTGAAAA